GCTAGAAAGAGCCGGTGTCACAACGGGACAACACCGTGTGCAGAAGCTGTGTGAAGTAAGAACAGGTTGGGTTCAAGTTCAAGATTAATAAACAATCGTATTCTGTTCAGTGAGGGAAAAATATATATGTGTATGCATATATATATTTTCACCCAAAGATTGCAGCGGTCCATGAATGGCAACAGAACTAAAAAGCTAAATGGCCACGGGAAAAAAGTTCATTTCTAGCATGGACTGTGACCTGAAAATTCTCTAGAGATATGGTAATGTAGCTTTTTCCTGTACTTTAAATGCATATTACCAGAAGCTCTAACTTATGCAAACTGGTCTTCATACAGAAAAAAATATCAATGAAAGGGACAGTTCAAACCCCATTAAAAAAGTCATTGTTGGATATTACAATTATTTGCAAGAAAAATTACCAGCAGCAAAACACGTTAATCTGTATTGCGCAGTTCCAAATCTATATTGAAAAGTAAGCATAGAAATTATTTTGTAAAATAATGCCTGAATGCCACTTGTTAATTATTAGATCTAGAAGCATACTTTTTTTTTTGAGGAAATGCTTGTTTATTTCGGTGATGGTTTTCACATTAAAAATAAATAAGCTATAAAGTTACAGTCCAGGAGATAATATTCCTGTTTAAGAATAGATTTTAAAGGTGTTAATAGCTTTACAGCAGCTGAAAGTTTTAGCAGGTAAGATACTTTATGAGCACATGAAATTCACTGACACAGATTTAAAAGGTTAATTTAAAATAAGTATAAAGAGCTAGCATATAGTTTCTGCGGGTAGAAACCCTCCTATGGGTATATATTGGTAACTATGGAGTTGTGGGTAGTTTCTTACTAGCAACAGCTGTTGGTAAGTACTCTGCCAGCAAACTCCCTGTTGTGTGTGTGTCTGCCGGTGGGGACTGGGTCTCTTGCTTTGTTTACACTCCTCTTGCTTTATCAGAGTGAGCTATCAGGTTATATTTACCTATGACTTTGTCTTCAGCATCAGGTATTTGTTTTCTCAGTGTTGTGTTCCAGTTGAGACACCCGACTCCTCTAATTTATTTAGAGAATTAGTGGGAAAAGTGGTAAGGCAGTAGGGTTTTGGATTAGGGTAAATACAGGAGTTATCGGTTTGTCAGTCTCTTTTTCACCTTGCCTGCACCTCCTGCATCCTTCCAGTCTGAGAACTGCCCTCATGCTGCTACCTGGGAGAATAGGATCCTGCTTCAGCTCTCCAAAATCTTTCCTATTTGCCAGTGCAGAACAGAGAGGATTCCTCCACTGCTCATTTAGCTGCATGCCACTTCTCACAATTGGCAATAAATGCAATACATTCCTTAAACATGCAGACATGCTACTCAGCAATTACAGCACCGGTTGCACTATGTGCTTGGCTACCCCAATGACAGGGCGTGTGCCCAATTTATGTTTCTTCTGCTACACACCTTGCCTCCTAGGGGCTGCAGTTGTTCCTAATCAGCAGTTGCTTTCCTGTTTCTCAGATGACCATCTTGACTCTTCTTTCCCTCCTGCTGCCTTTCAATACTCTGAATCACCTCACTTTTTACTCACCGAGTACTGAATTTGCATGTAGGTGTAAACAGAAAAGCAAGCCAAGGAGTTCTGTTCTTTGCAGATAGGCAGGCCTGGGCTGTCACCTGGGTCACTTGGCTCCTACTCCCTCTTTTATGTAACCACCAGAGAACTCTGCATTTTCCTCTAAAATGAGTGTCCTAACTGCTACCATAAAAGAAACACTACCTACCACCTGGCCTGTGGCACATACAGCATCTTCGTGTGCTGGGACCAGTATATGTTTATCCTTTAATCTCTGCTATACAAGATGCACTTAAATAAATCTCATTGTTTGTATTTTTTTCTTTTATCTGACTATACACCATCTCTCATAAATTACAGCTTCTAAACTGCAGGGCTGTTACTGCAAGCCACATCTCAGAGGCCAAGGGGTAAATTGCTGTTGAAGAGCTAAATTGCTGCTACAGTTTTTTTGCGGCGTCCCTGGGTCGTTTTAGGATGCTTCTGTTGTTGGCACTCAAGGAGCTTTGTGATTTTTTTTTTTTCCTTCTGATTTGGTTGATTAGAGCTGATCTGGTTTGCTAATTTTCTATAGTTGTGAAACAAATCCCTAGAAAGCAGAAATCACTGTTTTTAAAGCAAAATTAAATTTCCATTGCTGTGGCATGCCTGATGAGAGAAAACATTTTTAAAGAGTGTTTGCTACTGAAAATTTATTTGAATATTGATACAGGTAGCTGATTATGATTTTGGATAGGATAATGCGTTTTATGGCTTAAACTGTGTTTTTTTTCCTAATGAATGTACGTGAAGTAGTCTCTGTTTTAGCCTAGATATGTTGACAGAGATTTGCTTTGGTTGTGTAAGTACAGGGTGACACATCTGGGGTAAAAATTACGCTCTAAACTCCTTCATAAAGAGTGTGTGTTGAGTTTAAACAGGCACAGCTTGGCTGGGGGTTTTCTTTTTGGAATCTGCTCTCATCCTCTGCTGCTTGGCCCAAGTTAGCAAAGATTTTTTGATATTTAAGATATGCTTTGAGATGCATTTGTTTAGTAAGACTTAATGGAGGTACAGCCAAAATCATCTTTGCAGAAATGTTTGGGTTTGTCATTAGTAGATGTTATTGTTCAAAATTTTGCTTGAACTCTGGAACCTGCTCTAGTTTGAGAGGAAGTGCTGAGATAACTATGTTTTTATTTTGGTTTAAATATGTTAGAGACCAAAATTTAATATTTAATTTTATAAAGAAGCAAAATAAAAGCAAAAATAAATATTTTTTTCTGGTAAAAGTTACATGTAATCACAGTAAATGAAATTAATAGCCATTCAGGAAAATAGCTGATAGAGAGTTGGTATTATTAGTAGCAAGCTGGAAAACTGCCAGGCTCTAGGAGGACTGATGCCATGGTGCCATTTTTATGACAAAGTGTCATAAAGTCTTTGAAATAGAAACTGTAAAGGTAGCAGATGTTTTACTGGCTCTTTTTTTGGCTGTCTGGCTGCTGGAAGTCCAGAATAACAGTAGGACTGATAGTTTAATATCACACTTGTAACAGAAAAATTTGACACTTGTATGTTTGTATCCAATTAAAGAATTTAAAAATATGCGCCTATAACTGTCTTCTTGGCTGCAGGTTTGTTTGCTGATGCAAGTCGACAATCCACTTGGTCCAAGTGAACTGTTCAGCCAGGAGTATCCCTTATTGACATGCGTTACCGTCTGTTTTAAAGAAATGCAGCTTTCCCAGCAAAGCAAAACCACTCTTGCCTTCCAAGTGAAGGAGTGAGGGAGCGCATGGCCCTGTGTGATCTCGTGTTGCCATAGCAGTGATGTGATTTAAACCTGAGATGTCCTGTCCTGAAGGGGTGCCATGCACTCCTCCCACGCTGAGCTTGATCTCCGTGTGGCAGTTCAGCTGGTTACTGACCATGGTAACAACATAGCTTTGTTTTGGCATCTGTAATATTTCTGTTTGGGATCTTGTGACAGTGCAGGTTTGCAGTGGCAGTGTCTTTAACACAAAGTGACAGTCACTAATTTCTCAAAGGTACCAATCGTAATTGTGCTGCAAAGGACGTAAACAGTACATGGGCTTTATTTATCTCCTAAAATTACCCTCATAACTTTGTGAGCTTGTCACAACCCAGAAATGTTCACCTATAACTGGAAAGAGCAGCCTGTCCTACTGCAAATATTCAGTGTGAGTCTAACACAGTCCCATGCTAGCTACATACAGATAGATACAGGCATGAAATAAAGTAGCTGTGCTCATAGCCTCCTGTAAACTGCAACTTGTAAAATCAGCTGCAGGTGCGGATTGTTCCTTAGTGAATGCTGCATAAGTTATCCACTCTTGGTGGCATTTGTTATTTGAAGAATACCTGGAGTTGTTTCACCAGCACAGGCAAATTCAGTGCAGAGCATCTTGTTTGTTTACAGTATCCCACGCATTCATATCTCTTTCTTTTCAAATTGTACTACACAGAATCAAGCAATTGTGTGGTACAATATACACTGGAATAAAATACAAATCTTTGTAGAGAATTAGACTAAACTGACGCTTACTAATCTTACATTAGTCTGTTCACTATAGCTGTGACCAAGTAAAGCAGTCCAGAGCATGTTTTCTAGCCCTGAGGCCAAGTGGCGCGGTACAGCTTGTATCCCTCTCTTCCTCCTTTGGACAGGGTGATGATTAACTCAGCCTCCCCGGAACAGCCCTTAGCCTGGGTTGTCCCCTGTTTCCCCAGGCACTTCAGGGAAATGCCAGCTGGCACAGCCCAGAACTGTCCCCGGGAAAGTGCTCACAATGGGTGGCTTGAGCCATTCCCTGGATCTATTTCATTTACTAGTCTGGAAGTAGCCGCAGTGGCTAAACTTAGGCTTTCTTACATCCCCAAAGCAGTTTGTTCAGTCATCTGTAGAAACTCAGTATATGCTAGGTTGGGTTTGGTGAGTAGAAATTAATTAAGTGCTAGTAGTTGGGACGTTAGCAAAGTGAGTACTTGGCCATTACAGTACTGGGTTGCATAGGTATCACTGACTCAAAGGCATTTCCTAATGTAATTAATCTGCATTTTCTTCAAGAAAAAGAACTTTGCATAATACTGTCTTTTGAAATTCAAGTTAAGAAAAGCACAATAGCTTCAGCTTCTGTGAACTGATTCGCTAGAAATCTTGGCAGAAGGGAAGATTTGCATCTTAAAGCATTGTAAACTCATTAAAATTCTTCTCATGGATAATTAAAGAAAACAGAATTAAAAGGAAAGTTTAGCAGAAAGCAGCTCATGGGAACTGCGACATTGCAAGCATCTTAAAATTGGAAAGAAATAGCTTCTGTAGAATAGGCTCCTCCTCTTCTATTATGTTCTTTTGCTTTTTTTTAAAAAAAAACAAATAACCAATTATTGTTGGTTTCTTCAGTTGTCTAAGTCGCTTATTTATGCGTGACCCACACAGTTCTTGAGCGTATTTGTGACCAGCTTTAGAGGGCTTGCCGGCATGCCTAACAGTGGAGAGATCCTTACGAAAAAACTACAGGATGAAAATGCAATGAACATTACAGAAAACTATGAAACAAGGTAAAAAGTAGCTTAAGTATTTGTATTAACCAACTAATTTACCATTTTTTCACAACTTAAGTTCTTCTTTACTACCTCTCAGTTCCACAAAAAGGCTTTTCTGTATAATCCTAAATTTACTATGTAATACGGAGCAAGAAGTGTGTTTTATTGAGGCTAGAATGAAAAGATGGTGACAGTCTAAACTTATTTGTTCTGTTCTATCGTGTAGTATTGCTGCAATCCGAATAGGATTGTTCCATATGGACTGTTGTTTGCATCCTACCTGCATATATCTAATTTCATGGTGCTCATTTTGTAGCACAGAGGTCTATAGACCCAGAAACGAGCTCTGCAGAAGTTTGTGCATAGCATTTTTGATAACAGAGGTATGTTTAGCCTGCATAGTTCAGCTGCTTACAGCTTAGCAAATGCATGGAATTCTAGCTAAAAATCCTCAGCTAAAAACACCGGTAAGCTACTAGGCTCTTACACTCCAGTAAATTAAATGATTAATGGCTTTTCAAGCATGTAGTGAGATTGCAAGCACTCTCAAACATCTGAAATAAAAAAGTTCAGATAGTTCAGAATCAAGTGAATCACACTTCTGAACATCTACTCATGTGTCACTGATGTGAAGAGTAACATTTGAGACTTTTAAAGTGTAGTATCAGTTGCTCTTCATATATTACCTATCATAATCCACTTTGTGGACCTTCAAAGTTACCCTAACTGCAGCTATGGAACTGGATGTCTCTTCCTTGGTGCATTTGAAGGAATAAGCCTTAGTAACTGATTTGTCCTTCCCTGTGTCAAGTGATTGAGCATCTTCTTCCTATTAAGGGCAACAAAATTTGTGCTTGACCCATTAGAGCAAATGGTGGAGAGGAAAGGTGAATGCCTTTCTCAGACGTTTAATGCAGATTTATTTATTTTAGAACACAGGTCTCTTTCCTAGAATAATTTCATAGAAAATGAAGAGTCTTTGAAAAGATGCATTTGAAAGAATAGAAGAGCAAAACTCCTAGCAAACAAATTAACTTTTTAGTTTGACAATATTGTTGAATACTAGGTATTCATCCCAGCAGAATGCATTATCGTAGCAGATTGATACTACATTTTCTGTTAATTCCAACTTCATGTTTGTTTAGGTAACAGCTTTCATGTTATGTCACTTCGAAGTTTTACTTGAACATCTCAGGTAAATGGTTGGTTTGGTCCAGTTTCATCATTGTGGCTTCTTCTACTGTGGATTTTGTTGTCCTGGATAAGCTCGCACTGTCCTTAAGTGCTAACTCTAGACTAACGTTTTATGGAAAGGAACAAAATTTAAAAATCTTTTTAAGTTTTTGGTTGGATTTTTTTACTTCTTGAATCTTAAAATAACTAAAACTAGAATAGTCACTTTTGTTTAATTTGGAGAGAAAAAAAAACCTTTACAACTTTGGTCAGTCTGTACAAATATTTATGTTGACTCTTGAAAGTTATGATTTTGGTAAGTTAGTGAATTTTGATCTATGCATTGCTCTACCCCAGACATACTTTAGCAGGAAAAAGGCTTCCAGATTATCCTTATTAAAAAAAAAAAAAAAAGCTGAAAGAGAATTAGAAAAAAATCATTTGCAGTGACATGAAGGTACTGCTGTAGTTTAAGTTCCCTGTATTTTGTTTTAAAAAGTTGTTCAGCATGCGCTTTGTTTCTGGTTTCCTTTTGAAAAGGATATGACAAAGACTTGAATTTGAAATGCAGTTGATGCACTCAAAGTCTTTGGAGTAGAGACTTCTTTGTTGTTATTTTGGAAAAGCCTATGCATATTTGTTGTCCTGTGAAACAGTGTTGTCTTCCTGAATGGAGGTTTGAGGTTAGGTAGCAAATTTTATGCATTCATTTTGTGTCCTGAAAGTGGGGCTTCAGGGGAAACAGAAAGTAAGATTCTAGCAAAATGGACAGAGGTAAAAAGATCTTTTATAAGGCTATAATTGAATCACTGTGACCTCAGAAATGAGGAAGAGAGGAAATAATGAGTTCTGTATGACCAAACTTTATTGCATTCCCTGCAAATAGGCATACAGAGGCAGCTAGTAGAATATTTCAGCTTCAGGGCTGGATTTTTGCTGCGTAGGTCAGAAACGGGGCAAGAAAGTCTGTACCAAGGTCAGTGAAGGGTTGTAGTACACTCCAGCTGTTGAATAGAGCCTTTCTGCCTAAAAATGCAGATATATTGTTCATTTCTTCTTATTCACCCACATAGTTCTTAGCTATCTCTAAAACTTATTTGCTCACTAGACAAAATGGCCTAATTCTTGAAAATATTTAATCATAGCAAAAGGAAAGGAAAAAAAAAAAGGTTGGGGTTTTACTCTTTGCAAATAAAGATAGGCTTTACTCAAAGTTGTGTGCCAACAATAGCATATAGTGAAATAGGTCTCAGCTGTTAAATTTAGGCCTTTAGTATTAAGCTTTTGTGTTACTTTTAAATATATTTTTGTATGGGGCAATTTGTAGTAATTTGAGAAACCAGTTTAGTTTACTTGCTGAAGGCTAATTGCTTGTCAGATCAGCTGACCCTTTTTGTGAGTAGGCACATATCTCAGCTGATGTGTTGGCCCCTTTTTAAATCTCATAAGGACATGAAAGCTAATTGAAGACTGTCTCTTACCTGTTCTTTGAGGACAGTGAACAGGGAAGATTTAAATAGAGCCAATAAGGAATATATTATAGTATTGTCCTACATTAAAAAGGGGAATAATTAGTAAATAAAGGAGATTGGCTAGAGTTTCCTTTACAATGCCCCTGCAAAGTATATTCTGCTAAGGGACTCTTTACCTTCCCAATAGGAGGTAAGAAGAAGAAAGTAGGAAGGTAGGAAAAAAATTGCACGTAATTTTTAGTGTTTTCATGGTGTGTCTTTTATCTTTTTTTTCCCCTTACATAGTGGCAAAGGAGAAAGCATCATTAAAATGTCTTATGTAACAGTTCCCAGCTTCTCACAGCTTGGAGATGTCATGTTTGCTCATCTATTTTGTGAATCTCGGTCTATTGAACTATTGAAGCTTTGCTACTATATTCTTACATATTGATTTAAGTCAGAGGGACCTCACTCTCTTGAATTCTGGAACAGATTTGTGATTCTGGATTTATTCTGAGCCCTTCCCTCTTCATCCTCTTCCCAGACTTCTCTTCTAAAGTGCCAGATTCACCACTTGCAAGATTAATGGAAAATTGGGAAAGAAGAATTGCTTAGAATGGGAGCCAGATGATGAGGTTTAGTATCCAAAGTTTCTGGGCAGAGTGTCAAGATCATTAAGGTTTCAGTGGTTCCCACAGGTAATTTAACCCCTTCCTTTTTGCAGCCAAAAGACTTGTCAAATGATTACTTAAGGATTCCATCTTATTTTAAAATGCCCCAGTGAGCTGCTGGAAACGCCTACCAGCCAATGAAAAGTACTTTGGAATGTGCAGATGTAGGCCCAGGTCATACTACTGAAAGCAGCTCTTGTGGATTAGTGTTAGTGGAATGTATATTGCTAAGGTCTCCTGGAGAACATGTAACAAAAGCTTAGGAGGGAAAAAAACAAAAAAAAAACCAAAACAAAACACGTTGCTGTTGATGGAAAACAGTAGTAATTATTTATGACACTGGTCACAAAGAATGAGGAAGCCGAAGGTAAACACTGATTGGAAGGTTTTTTTTTTTTTTTTTTTTTTACCTGCTTTATTTTGAAGTTCTTAAATAAGCAAACAAGCAAGCCTCATGTGTCAAGAGAAGATTCATCACGTTGTTCTCAGCAGGAGCAAGCAATGAAAGGTGAAAACAAAATTGAGAAGCCTTGACAAAAAGCTGCATGTTTTCCAGTTTAGCCTCATCTTTGTGAAATAAATAAGGTCCATACTTAATCATTGGGAAAGCCTAAGGCAACACAAGTCTGGCAAAGAAGTAGGGTTTGCACAGCTTGCTCACTAAGATAAATATATGCATATAACAAAATATTTCTTTGGGCAAGGCAGCCAGAGAGAAGACTTTAATTGCAAGGTGGAGACTGTGTTAAAAGAAATATGTAGTAACATGCTTGCTACCACTTGAAAGCAGCCTGGTGGGTGAGCTTGTAAATGAGATGTAGAGGAACAGTTGAGCAGATTAAGGATCTATGCTGCTTTGGATTACGGTACAGGGAAAATACAAGTGAGCCTGCCTAAGAGGCTGAGTCTGGAAGCAGTGCTCCGAGAGTGTTCCCAGAGGAGCTGCACGGATCCCTTTCGGAAAAAAGCATGTAAGTGGCACAGGGATTGTACTCACTCAGAGGACACTATAACCAAGGGATCCCTTGTTACTCGCTTATGTTCTTTGTCTCAGCCTATCTGCAGAAAAATTTATTTTGAGAGGAAAAACAAAAGAAAACAAAAATACTGCAGTAGCTTGCAAGAAAACTTGAGAAGTTAAGCAGGATGGAACTGCAATATTATGTTTGACCATCTGGTCTCAACTCTGTACCTTAAACACATTGTTTTATCTAAAATTAAGCATTACATTAATCCTGACTTCTTTGATAACATGTGAATACAGTGTCTTCAACAGAGAATATTTCCCATAAGGTAAACCAGACTAAAATTAATTCAGAGCCCACATACTGCAAAATAACCCAGGAATGAGATGAGAGCAAGAAGGTTGCAGTGGGAAAAGATGCTGTCTTAGAAACACCAGGAAAGGGAGGAGGTGGCAGCTTCACCTGGAATCCCGAGAGGGTGGCTCTGGTCACTGCTGCAGTGGGCACTGGGTGAATGCAAAGTCTGAATTACTGACAGCTCAGGGAGCTCTTTATTCAAACCTTTTTTTTTTTTTTTGGCAGCAGTTGTGAATGTGATTTTCAGATTTTGGTACTTTGACTAGGTGTATATATTTAAAGAATTGCGACTAAATAAGTTTAGGCAAATAATTCTTGTGAATAACATTAACAATGCACATATTGTTAATCTATTAATATTGTTCGTCATCATTTGGTAAACTGCATGTATTTCTGCAATTCTGTAGAGAATGACTGTGTGAAGAACTGCTTTTGAAGTTGCTTATTATTTTTATGGCAGCTGGGAGGGCCAATGTCTGGATAGTTTTTTTGTTTGCTTTTTTTCTCCTATGTTTCCAGTTAGTTTATCATGCTGTAGAAGGAAGAGACTTCATTTTCTCTCAGGTTTCTTCTATTTCACCTGTTCAGGGGGAATGAAGATAATCCAGACTTGTTCTTGGCCTGTGAAGATTGTGTCCTTCCCCTTGATCTATTAAATGAAGTCAGCTATATTAAAAAAGGCTGCATGCTGAAGCCTGTAATGGAAAGAAGACAATTTCTTTCTATATGGTCAGGCTACTGGTATTCACCCTGGCTAGTTATAGACATAAAATTTTTTAATTATGTTTGCTGTATCATATTTTTTTAATGTGTAAGGATTTTCATAAATAGCATAATGTACTTTAGCAATACATACTGTAGTGATTGCTCTCAATGAAAGCAAGCTGGTTGCTTTATGTAGCCAGTCATTTCCAAATGCTCAGTGCAACTTTTGATGTCTTGCTCATGGAATCCTTTGCACTGTTACCTTACTGACTTCCTGTTTTGAGTTGCTTATCTGTGCATTAATCTTTGCTTGTTCGATTTCACCAAGAAAGGTTAGTTTCATGTAATAAAGAGAATCTGTTGGTTTTGCTAAGTTTTTGAAAAATATAATCTCATTATTATTTGGAACTAGATCTTCTTCCCTTCCTATCCCTAGAAAAGACCAACCTCAGACCTTCAACAAATATCAGCTGTGCAGATATGCAGGTACTATGATGTTAGTACACTGGCAGAATAATCAAGGTTAAGAATGATCGTTCTTTTTACTTGTACAGTTCATGGCCTCTTTGTTGATTTTCAAAAATAGTGTCTCCATCTATTAAGTTCCATGATGCCGAATCTAAATTAAGTGAATGAAACAAGAAGGTGATCCTTGCTGATGGAAGGCATGATTGTATTGGAGCTTGCAACCAAGAGGCAAAATATCCTTTATCCCTCAGAGCTGTCTATTTTTCTACTTTTTATATTTCTTGGCACCTTCCAGCTGTGTTCTTTTTTTTTGCGATGTCTTATATGTTGATTGCAGTGGACTCATTTGGCATTGCTTGGTAACCTTTTAATAAGTCTGTTTTCTTTTAGAACATTTACAGAAGTGCAGACTGTCTCCAAAGATTTACTGGTTCATTTTGAGAAGACCCAAGATGAAGGCAAAGAACCAACAGGTAAGCGTACGAAGGATTATTCAAGCTGTTTTTAGAATTTGTTAATGTAATCTTTGTGTTTATTCTTGCAAATTCCAACTGTTAGTTTTTAAGGACTTGGATAAGACGGGGCAAAAATAAAATGTAATTGAAATTTGTCAAGGCAACTGATATTTTTTCAGGACCTGTTTGTAAACTTGCCTGAATTCAGAAGTGTCTCCCAGATATTTTATTTGAGAACTATTTATATTTATATTTTATATCTGAGAATATACCTAAGTAAAAGTGAAAAATAGCCTGATGGCATAAAAATCTAACCAAGTCTGGTGGTATTTTTTACATCATAGCCTGCCTGTCAGCTCTCCAGGGTTCAGCATACTGTGTAATAACTGCAGGCTGTAAATGAATATCTACAGTTCTGTGTTACACTGTAGTATACTCGTACTGTAATTTTAAATGTAATTTTAAGCCAGCAAGGGCAACGGTCAGTTAACCTTGTTGTGCTGCCATGCAGCTCAGAGCTGCAGGTTACTGGCACAGCATTCACCGCTTTTTGGAAGGTTGGCAGCCCTGAGGGAGCTCCCTGTTGCCTTGGTGAGACTGCTGCTAGTGTCTAAATTTGTTTGTTTAAACAAGGTCTGTTTGTACTGTGAAACAATTGGAGAAGAGACTGTAAGCAGATCTTGTGAGACTGACTTAGCTCTATTGGAATGCCATATGCAGACTTTGTAAATAAACATATGTATACATATACACACATACACATATATAAAAGCAATTTTTGATGCAGAGTAGGTTTCTTAACTTTTCAAGGAGTGAACTGCTGCCCGTTTTTGATAAAACAGGAGAGTAATCTGGATGGCTGATAACTAAAATTTCAAAATATCAGGGCATTTTATTGAGCTATTTGAGACAGACATTGCATAAATAGATTATTTCTGAGGCTGTGATTCCTCAGAGTGCTTACGTGTGTGCACGACAGTGAGCCTGTGAAGACTCTGACCTATTTTTGTAAGAGAATTTATCTGGGACACTGGCCCTCAGTTACCACCTTGCTGCTCTCCTGGAGTTACTGCTGCCTGCAGTTCACAGTAGCGTGCTGGGCTGCGAACCCAGCTGCTCGGGAGGGAATGCACGTGCCATGCAGCCACTCCTGCAGTGCTGGCCACAGCGTCGACAAGCAACGCGGGGTGGACAACTAAAGGTAGAAGCCATTCCAGCAGTTCCCTCATAATTTTCCTGCAAGCACAAGTCATACCTCATTTATTTTAATTAAGCCATCTCTTTATTTGAGTTTAGATACATTTCTAAGTTGGTGAATCAGGATCTTAGCATTTAAGTTACTCAGGTCTTTTATTTAACTCTTGGAATCTGTCTACTATTAGTTACCCCTTGAAATGAGTGGCAATGTTAGACTTGGAAACACCCTGCAGCTATAAAGATGCTGAGTGCAAAGTGAGGACTAATGTCAGAGACTCTCAGATATTTATGGAAGTGGCCTAGTGATTAGATAGGAAGTCTTTTGAGAGAGGAGAGCTCAATGTCTGCATGGTATATCAAGAGAAAAGAAGGAGACTCTGATGTTTCTTGTTGCAGAGAAGTGTCTTTCTCATGTTATAATAGGTATATTTTGCAACCTCAGAACTTCATATTGTTTGGAATTCCCCCCTCCCCATTAGTTCCTGCAATTTGCAGAATCCCATTCCTGTGGAACCAGGCCAATTTTGGTTTTCCTAATGCATATGTAAATCCAGAATAATCTTACTATTGGCAGCAAGCATTGTGTTGGCTTAAAGCCAGCACAAATTAAAAGAAAATTCATGTATGTTGGTTTTATACCAATAAAATCACAAAATAATGTAGCTTGGAAAAGACCTCTGGAGGGCAACTAGTCCTGCTTCCTGCAAGTCTGTCTTCAAAGTTAGGTCAGGGGGCTTGTGGCCTTGTTAGCTGAGTTTTGAAAATCTCTAAGGATGGAGCTTTTTTCCATCTTTCAGTCCCTGTGCTTGACTGCTCTCACTGATTTCTTTGTCAAATAGGGATCTTCCGTAGCGCAGCTGATACTTATTGCCTCTTGTCTTTTCACTGTGTGCCTCAGAGAAGGCTCCAGCTCTATATCCTCCCTTCAGGCTGTGCAGCCTGCAGTTAGTTCCCCTCCACCCTTCATCTCCAGTTCTCCAGGTTGAACAGACCCAACTCCTTCAGCTGCTCCTCATGTGTGGTGTGCTACAGTCCCCTGACCGTCTGGATGGCCCTCATCTGGGCTTGCTTCAGTTTTGATAAAATCACTCTTATGTGAGGCCTTCGAAAACTGTTCACCGTTCCAGGTGCAGCCTCACGAGCGCTGAGTAGCAGGAATTAATCACTTCCCATGATCTACTGGCACAGACTTTGCAGCCCGGGATGTTTTTATATCCACAGGGACCTACTGCTGTTTCATGTTCAAATTGCTCTACGCCAGGACCCCCAGGCCCTTTTTTGCTGAGCCAGGCACTATTCTGGGTGCTCTGTTGTGCAGGACTTACCATTCACCATTGGTGAATTTTGAGGTTTATGTCAGCCCCTTCCTCCAGTTCGCTGAAGTCCAACCCAAGGCTAGCCCTGCCCTTCAGTGTGTTGACCAATTTCTCCAGTTTGGTGTCATCATTGAAGCCGGCGAGAGCGCGTTCCACTGGCCAAGAGATTAACGGTGTTCAGGAACGTTGTTCCCAGGATGGACCCCCAAAGAATGTCACTGTAGCTGGGTGCTAGCTAGACTTTAAAATATTCATCACTATTCTTTGAAACTAATTATTCAGCCAGATTTTCAACCATCTCGTCGACCGTCCATCTGATTCTGACCTCCTTAGGTTGCCTTCAAGTACGCTGTGGGAGACCTCGTGAAAGACTGCTGTGACTTCTCCCGCTGCTCTCACCTCAGCTACAGAGCCAGCCATCTCAGCATGGGGGCAGTCAAGCTGGTCAGACGTGGTTTTCCCTTGGTAAATCTGTGCTGGCTGGTGTGGTCATCTACCTATAGCTAGAAATGGTGAAAACCATTTTGTTGGAGAATTTTTTTGATAACCTTCCCATGGTTTGAGGTGAGGCTGGTCGGCCTTTAATTCCTGGATCCTCTTTCTTCCCCTTTTTGAGGATGAAGGTGACATTTGTCTTCGTCTGGGCACTGGGGACCTGCCTGGACTGCCTTGCCTTTCTAAAGATGCTGGAGAGCAGCCTTGCGATGACACTGGCTTGCTCTTTCAGGGTACTCTCAGATGTATCCGGTTGTGTCCACAGACTTGTTTGTCCTGTTTGCTAAAGTGGTCTCTAATTTGGTTTCCCTCTAGTGTAGGTAGTACTTCTCTGCTGCCTTGGTATTTAGTGGCAAGACCTGCTGTCAGACTTCCTGGATACTGAGTTTTGGCTTTCCTGCTTCTGTGCCGGCGTGTCTGGGCAAGGCTCCTGCAGCAGTGCTTCCTCCTGCAGAGCTTGTTCCTGATTACACCCTCCACACACTTCCATTTTTGTGCAACGTCATCGATTTTAGCAGTTGTTGTTATGTTTAGCACTGTTGTTATGAAGCATGTTTTAAACTTAATTGTGTGTTCTGCTGCACCACTCCCTCCGTGCCAGCCCGGAGAGGAATTTTTGGTTCTTGCATCGGAGGAATAATGTATTTCATTGCCATTTATATAGTTTCCTTTCTCTTCTCCTAGAAAAAAAAAATCTAACAAGTTTCCATATTGTTGTTTTGGCTAATTAAAAGACAAAATGATCTGTTCATGGAAGTTTGAAAGTTAAAGAAAACTTTAGTGTGGAAAATTGGCAATATAACAAAATGTTCCCCTGAACTGAGGCAGGAGAAGCAACAAGGAAAGCTGATTCCCTCTTTTTTTTCCCCTCTGTGTGTTCTGGATGATGTTCCCATGAAACTCAGAAGCTTTGTAATTGTTAGGTCAGTCTCTTGATCTGCACAGAGGACATTTGTTTGACACCAACATCAGGCTCTTGGACTCAGGCCTGTGTGCGCTCGCCACCGGTTTTCAGTAGTGTTTAATTCCAAAGACATCTTGAGAGGGGAAAAAAAAAAAAGTCAGTGAAGAAGAGGAATGCTCTGTGTGTGTTGTAGGAGGAATGCTGTATGTGTAGTGTCAGCAGAAGGAGATGTCATCATAGCTGTGGAATCCCGGATGACGACTGTACCTTTCTTGTCATTAGATCAAAGCAATGCTTTGCAGGAGGTGACATATAATCAACTTACTGTTTTGTGAATTACAACTCAATCAGTTTCAGGCAGAAGTTAAATTACTGTTTTAGTTACTGCTTCTCAGGAGGCATCTGCAGTCACAGAGCAGGGCCATCTGTAGCCTGCCTGTTTGTTTACTGTCTGCAAGGTGACCTTGATGCTTTTGAATTTTGTATGGCTCTGAGTTCTTCCTCCAGAAACATCACAACTCATTTCCATTCCTAAATCCACTCTGGCAGTCACCAGAATGCTTGCAAGGGAAGTAGTGAACAAGAGAGAAGTTTTCACTCATGGCTTAGCCTTACTGGATAAGTGCTCTTTGCTTTGTTGTTTGTTTTTTAACCAATATGTTGTCTCCCTTATACATCCCAAAGGTCCAGCAGTTTCAGCCAAAACTGGTTATTCAAGTGAAAAAATATGAAGACTTGCTATTTGTTTCTCTGTTTAAAACAGCTTTTTGGTATCCAGGCTGTGAGAAAAAGCCTGTATCATGTCACAACTGCTCAGTTTGCACCATGGAATGGAGTAACAAAAATGATCGGGTGGGCTAGAGCAATTCCTCAGCAAAACTGCAGCACAGTCTTCCTCTTGTGCACTGTATGTATGAGACTGCTGTGACCTGCCTCTTTCTTCAGCAGCAAAGCAGTGATTTGGGGACAATTTAGTTGACTCGTGGAATTCCTCATTAGGGGAGGATGTCAAGGGGAGGAAAAAAAAAAAAACCTTTTGAGGCCCAGTGTCAATGTCAAAGAATATCTATCTGAATAAAATCTCTGCTCTTTTTATTGTGTCTGGGGAGGTCATTCTCTTTGGGAGTAAACTTTTTCTCACCACCTCTGACACTCAGTGAATTCACATGAGTGATATGAGCCAAGGTCACATATCAGTGAATTAAAAAGCGTTTTGGTAGAAAATGTAATAGAGGTGAGAGGAAGGGAGCAAATGCTCCTTTCTGATTACTTGCATTAGGGCACTTTCAGCTTGGCTCTGCTTTAATATGTAATGCTAGAATGATGACTTATTTTTTCTTATGCTCTCAGTAAACCTATGGGTGTATCAGCATTCATAGCGTATTTAAAGGATCTTTATTTTGATTCCTCTTTGGGTTTCAGTTGGTTCTGAGTTAATTTCCAAGCACGACATTGCAATTTAGCTTGTAGGTGCCAGCTAGACAGGGCACCTGTTTTGCTTTTCCAAAAACAGGTAATCATTTCAATCAGTATTTAGACATACATTCCTTCCCAGGCTCTTTCTGTTGTCGCAGAGACTCTCTGCTAGTTAACAGCAGTAATTGCTATTCATATTCTGCTGTTTTTACAAATTCTCTGGGGAAGAATAGTTAGCTTCAATAGAATATTTTGGCTTATTTTCTAGATTTTAGAACTATTTTCAGATCTAATTTCTGCATGCAAATATATGCAAGTACAGGCAGTGAATGGGTGTTCAAATTTGTATTTCTTTTTCATATTTATGGTGTAGTATTAAGGTGACTCATCAAGTCTCTGAAAGACTTGAGTCTGTTTTTCTAATGTAAATCACAGAGAATATTCTGAAATTGGAAAAAATCCATAAATAAGAGCAAAATGAAGCCAAGTTTTGAAGTGCTTTTTTGTTTGTTTTGTATATAGGTATTTTAATGGTGTGTTGTTTTTTTTCTCTCTGGAGACTCTGTTTTTCTATGCATTGTCTGTTTTTACTAAAAAAGATCATAATTATGCCACTTTTGTAATGTGATTCTAGGAATGTTGCTTGGATTTGCCAGCTCCCTTGCAGAGGTGCTTTTGCTCTCTTTGGCCAAGAATGTTCTTCAGCTCTGTATAGTGTGATTTTGTTTTAGGTTTTTCGCTAGCCTGTGGCACCTGCAGGGCTGCCCAGCTCTGCTCCTTCAGAAGCCAGACCTCCAGGTGGAGATCCCCATGTGGCCTTGGGGATGTTCCCGCAGAGAACAAGCATGTGGATCATCACTGCCTTTCACCTCCGACAGGACATCTCTTGCCCTGTGTCCCCAGGGGTTGGCACTCAGTGCAGGAACCCCTGCTTTGCCCACCCTGCTTTTAAAATGTTTGTGGCTGCCACTGTTTGTTCTTTAAATAAAGTCCCTCTCTCCATTGCCTAGAATCCTCAGTAACTGCTGGTTTTCTAAACTGTCTGGACTTAGGCCACTGACTTTAAAGCATACAATAAAATTTGATAAAGCTCCACACCTTTGTTTTGAACATCATTATACCTAATTTACAAGTGAGGAGATGAAGGCACATGGAGATTAAGCAGCTTTGTTGTCATTATTGCTTTCTGTTGGTCAGCATGGTCAAGAGAGCAAATACCATGCTAGGAGTTGGGAACGGGAGCAGCCATCTAGGGCCGGGCCACCTTCAACAGCTCGGTTCACTTTCTGCACCGGTGTCTCTTTCTATATGAAGCTATTGATAAAGCTGTAAGATTGGGCAGTCCTTCACCCCAAAAATGGGAAGCACCAGAAATACGTTCTTCTGCAGCCTTCGTTCAACCTGCTCGCCTTCTAGTGCACAGGCACACAGTACTTGTTCACTGATAGGAAGTCTCGATAACGCTTTTGCCTTCCAGAGTCTTTGTGGACTTCCTTTGCTGATGGTGGAGTCAGACTGAGAATAGATAAATCATGTCCTCAGACTCCAATAACAGTTCATCAGATGTTCAAAGAGAGCCTAGAAAAGTATGGAGATCTCAATGCTTTGGCCAGCAAAAAGAATGGCAAGTGGGAGAAGATTACTTTTTTAGAGTATTATTCCCTGTCCCGAAAAGCAGCCAAAAGCTTCTTAAAGGTAGGTACAGAAAACAGACCCATTTTTCTTCCTTTCTGCCTTTTCAAAAAATAAATACAATAAGTCTTCCTACTGATTGATTTTTCACTTCTTAAGATGAGCAGCAGTCACATCCTCTGTCCTTGCTAGCAAGAATAGAAATTTTGCAGTTCAGTATCAAACAGCTTTGACCTGGTTTTAGAAAATGTTGTGGTACTAGAGTGTTTTCTCTTTAAGGAAAATAGATCTAAGATGTTTCACCATTCAGCCAGCCTTTTGCACTGCTAGTGCATACATAGCAATTATTTTTAATGATTGAGCAAACCAATAAAAGGGAGCTTAACTATTTCTATTTACTAACATATTTCACTAATATTTATGGGTTTACAATCAAAGTAGCAAATTCCCAAATAGAGCATTTATACCTCTGTTTAGTACAAACTGTGCACAAGCAGTAGGTGATGGCGATGTTTGTACGTGCTGTATCTAACAGTCTGAGCTGCGGTGTTGGGAATCCCTGCATTATTTTTCTTTTGGAGTGTGTGTTATGAGATGCTTGTGTGACCTCTGCATTTCATGCTTCCTGGATGATGTTAGGAAAGAAATAATGGTCTAGAAAGTGGGTGTTGTTGATGGTTTGGGGTTTTTTTTGTTTTTTGAGAGGGAGTGGTGGCCAGCATCTTTGACCTTCAGCTCTTTTATGCGGTATTTATTGTTTTTGAGGTTAAAGATCATTGAGAGAAGTTGAGGGAGCTCATTTGAGGCCACCTGCAAAATTGGCACTGGCCTAGCAAGTAAGGTGAACGTTTTGGTCAAAGAGACAGAATTGCTCTCAAAGGCTCTTGAGTGCCAGACCAGAGTTGCTGTGTGACTCTGCTCCACTCAGGCACAGGTACAAAGTTCAGTATGTGGCCTTAAGATTACAAAAAGAAAAATAAGTGTAACACAGCAGTTCTGTCATGAACTGGGCAAGATAAAGGTGATTTTGAAAACATTCTAAACACCGGATAAGATTAATACTACTTATGTTCCTGCTTGTACTATAAGTGTCATTTTTTTCCTGACATTTTTGGACAGCAGAGCTCAAGCAGGCAGGAGGAGGCAGTGGAAAGTTTAAGTCCTGTAAATTTCTAACAGAAATTCTGGTTTTAGAATGGCTGTTTATGTACAGTGTGAGGAACATGTTTTTCAATACCAAATAGTAAATAAAAATATTCTAGTGTGTGCATGTGTGTATTGTGCTGCTATATCTCCAGCATGCCTTTACTGTATAACCTGAGGCTTATTATTTTTAAGCTTGGTCTTGAACGATTCCACAGCGTAGGAATCCTTGGATTTAATTCTCCGGAATGGTTCATTTCAGCTGTTGGAACAGTTTTTGCTGGGTAAGCTTTTTGTTTTCTTGTTTTTTGTTTTTTAATGGGCGTCTGGGCATTTATTCCTCTTTTGGTAAGTCTGGATGTGCCACAAATTACTAATTGCTGTTACATCTTGAAAGCTGCACTGCAGCTGATGCACATGCTCTGAGACCTGCTGTAGCCTCGTGGCTTTCAGTCTATTCAAAATACTCCAAGTCCTCACCCGTAGAGCTACAGTCTGATTGTGACAGTCTTTCAGCACATCATTCTTTACAGTATGTTGTCATTGGAAGATGTGTCTTAATTTTATGTCAATGATTCCTGTCTACAGCAAGGTATGTTGAAGTGGACAAAGTGACAGATAAAATACTAACTAGCCTGATGCCTTCTGTTCTTCTGTATGTGGTGGCACAATTTGGATTTTGCCTTAGGTTGTTCCTGTGCCAGTGAAATTGAAATTGTCATCTCCGTGCAACTTCATCAACATTAGATGAGAAAGGACTTAAGTTTTTATTAGCACTTCTTTAGATAACCCTTCTGTAGTCTCAAGTGCTTTAAAATCCTGCATCATACCTTGCAGCATCTTGTAGTGAATAAAATTCAGGGATTAATTTTTCTATTGTAGATGTATGAGATAGTTTTATCAGAATGCTTGGAACAAGCATGACTGCTCTGCTGCTGTGTAATTCCACATCTTCATGCTTTCAGCTTTCATCTCTAATTAAACATTTTACTTTTGATACGAAGTCCATGTATGTATGTATGTATATAATTGTACATATACACCTACGTAATTATTATTATTATTATTATTTTAAATACAGGGGAATTGTCACAGGAATATATACAACCAACTCTCCAGAGGCCTGCCACTACATTGCTCATGACAGCAAAACCAATATCATGGTTGTGGAAAATCAGAAACAATTGGACAAGATAATGCAGGTAGGAGGAATAGTTGCAAAAGCCATTTTTTTTCTGCTTATCTCAATGCCGTTAGTCCCAAATACTGTATTTATTACCCAATTCCTGTATTTATTACCTATGATGGAACTCTTCATGGAAGTTTCTTTGTGCAGTTTCCTTGTGCAGAAATCTGGCAGCTGATGTTTGAGGTGCTTGGTGACTTGGCAGCTCTCGGCTCTGTAAGGCTCACAGCGAGGCGCTTGTGATCCTTGCCAGCAGACTGCTCACTGCTGCTGAGACTCTGCAAAGTCACCTTAAGAATAAACCAAAGAAAACAACAACAACAAAACTATTTCATTCCTACGGAATGTCCAGTTGGATAAGCACAGTTCACTGGAAGTGATTAGGATCATGCAAATTTGTAAAGGATTTGCATCTCAATATTAAGTATGTCAGTGTTCCGAGTTTAGAATCTCTTTTCCGAAGTGCCATCCTTCCTGCTTGCGCCCTTAGACCTGGTGAGGTTACTGCACTCCATCAGCAGGGAGCTTGCCATAAAATGGATTGTGGTGCAGAAAACGTGGTTCTGTGAAGGAATGATCACAGGTTTGCAACAAGTGGGGCTTCTGCATAGGGAGCCAGGGCCAAGGACCAGTTGTCCCTGATGGAGGCTTCTGTCCAGAATGTATTTCCTACAGTTTTGTCTGAAAATGGAGTTTCTAGAGTAGACTGTGTATTTTTTCCCCTCATTTATTTTCCAATTCAGCCTGTTGATTGTGAATCTAAGGGAAAATATTTGAGGGTGGAGGGAAATGGGAGGTTTCTTGTGACTGTGAACCCAATTTTGGCGGATTTTGATAGTCACAGATGCTTTAATAGAAAAGAACCTTAAGAGATGACTAATAAATTATAAAACTGTTTTTTAAAAATCCAACAGATCTGGAATCGTTTGCCACACTTGAAAGCTGTTGTGCTGTATAAGGACTCCATGCCAGAGAGACGTCCCAATTTGTATACGGTATGAATGCTAGGATAGTGTTATAACTCATAGGGTATTATCTGTTTTTATTTTGTAAAAAAATCCGTGGATTATCTGCCTTTTAGAATACCTTGCTGTCTTCCGGCGAGCATATTCCGAAAAATTCATCATTATTTTTCATTTAATTTACCTTTATTTAATGTTTGACACTTAAAATTTAAAATTGAGCTACCCCGATTAACTGGTCTTCGTGTCATGCCTTCCTGTTTCTTTTATTTGATAGGATTAGTGTTGCAGCTACAAGCTTCAGATGGGAATATGTACTTTCAAACCATTAGAAATACAAGTTGTCCACTACCGTAGCATAACAAGCATTTTGAGTGATAGGCAACAGGTAAAGAAAATCACCTCTGATGCCCAAAGGACATAGCAGGACATTAGCATACATTTGTTGTACCCCAAGGTTATAACAAAATAAAATATGGGACAAATTCAGGATCAGAAATTTCTGAGTTCTTTAAGTCCAACCTTTAATTTAAAAATTAGGACTTCAGACAGAACAGATTTTCAGATGAAATATTTTTCCAAATTCTCTTTAAAGTATAATTGAAGGTAGTTATGTAACATAAATGCCCAAATCGCCATTTCATTTTAGGTGTCATACAGATCATTACGGAGATTTGCAGGCTGAATCAATATCATTCTAGGAAAAAAAAAAA